GACACAAGTAGCAGACTGTCTAATAATAATAATAATAATAATAATAAATGACTTTATTCGTTCACTTACACCTATATACATTATACAAATTATATTTTATGCATATAAAAAGATGAACGAAAAGGCGAAGTTCAGTATAATACTGATTTTCAACTTAACCTTAAGAGAGCGAGAAAAAAAAACAGATACGTAATATAATAACGAAAATAATACCAAAAAATAATAATAATACAACCAAAACATAATAATATAAAACAATAATTCAAAAGAAAAAGAAACAGCAAATAATACTGCCATCTGTAGTGAGAACCTTGCACACCCTCTAATGTTTAAACTCAGCGATGTCACGGCGACGGCTGCTATATTATCGTAAATCAAATTATGTACTAAATAAATGAACAAATAATTTATTTTTGAATGACCTTATTGTATTACAACTTCTGATATCTATCGGGAGACTGTTAATAACTGTTGTAATCTGATACGTAAACGAACTTTTAAAAAATTCAAGCGAGTGTAGAGGAGGAGTTAGTGTACCTTTAAAACGGACATTTATTGTGTGTACGTCTGATCGAAATACTATTTTTCTATATAGATACGGTGGCTTTTCAGTTTTTAGTATTGTAAAATATAAACACGCCGAATGCAGAGCTCGTCGCTGCGTCATATTTAACCAATTTACCATTATCGATTTTTCTCTATGCAAGAAATACTAAAATATATGCAACTTATTTTACGTTTTTCGTAGTAATGTGTTAGCGCGCGTATAGTACAATTTAAATTTATGAATGGCAACACATAAGTCACCCTGCCATCTAGGCATCACGACCACGAACTAAATTCTTTGGATAAATATGTATATCATCTATAAATAAGGGTATTATGGTGTCAGTTTGAGTTGGTTTTCTGAAAATCTGAAATTCGATAGATTCTCCGATATTAATAAGAGTAAGATCCAAAAAATTTATTCTGTTATTTGTTTCTATTTCTATTGTGAATTTTAATTTGTTATGTAAGTTATTGATGTGACAATGAAAATCTTCTATTAAATTATAACCATCATCATTCCAAACTATTATGATGTCATCAACATATCTGCGTCACAAAACAATATTGTCATTAATGGTGTTTTTATCAACCAACAATTCATGTTCTAATTTATTAAGGAAAATGTCACAGAGAAGACCACTCAAGGGGGATCCCATAGGCAAACCCTTGTTATATTTATAATATTTATTATCGAATTGACAAAAATTTTGTTCAGTGCAAGCTTTAAGTAAGTTGTAAGTATGTTGAGCGCTTATTGAGTCTGTTTTATTATTTAACAATTGTTTAGCAATATCAAGTGTTTCATTAATTGGAATGTTAGTGTAAAGGTTTGTAACATCAAAAGATAATAAAGTGAAGTTTTTAGGTAAATTTATGTTTTGTAATGTGTTGATTAAATCAGTTCTGTTACTAATAGAATAGTCTGCTTTAAAATTTATATGTTGTTTGAAAAATTGAATTAAAAACTTTGATAATTTATATGTGCTTGAGTCAATAGACGATATAATAGGTCTAATGGGAGAATTATCTTTGTGCAGCTTAATCAAAGGTGTTTTAGGATTCATGGGTAAGAGATTAAAATTGTTTATGTTATTATTAAAAAATTCCTTCCATTCTTTAAGAATCTTTTTTATTTTAGTGTGAAAAGCGTTAGTAGGATTCTTTTTAATTTCAAAAAAGGTATTGTCGTTAAAAAATTGTAAAGTTTAGAAATGTATAGTTGTTTGTTTAAAACAACTAAACCTGCATTTTTGTCTGCATTTGTAATAACTAGAGAATCTTTTTTAATTTTATTTTTAATCTTACGTAAAATTCTGTGTTCCTCTTCATGAATCTCTTTTATATGGTTATTAAAACTACTTTGAGTTTTACGTTCTTTTCGCTTGATCAGCACCACAAAGTCCTTTCTTAAGTCGTCCTCCCCCTCTGTGTTGTTAATTGCGTTTTCAATTTCGATCGCCAAGGCCGGCAAATTCAGGCTCCCAGGTGTTATGGTGTATTTATGTCCTTTGTTGAGTAAATCTTGTTCTTCTTTTTAAAAATTAGTACATAAGACAAAAACGGATAATAGAAGCAATCCGCAAAATTAAAGTGCGATAACACTATGCTGTCATATAGTAATCGTTTAGTTGTTCTATTGATGTACTCTCGGTTGCAATAAATCAATTTCAATGACGCATATGCTTTTTGTACACACTTATTAACATGAGAATCAAACTTTAAATTTTCGTCAAAAATTACTCCTAAGTCTTGCTGATTTACTAATTATCAATTGCTTATTGTTGATTTCAATTTTGATTTTATTTTGTAATTTAATTTTAAGTTTTTTGGGACCAAACAGCATTAATTCTGTTTTTTGTGGGTTGATGCAAAGGCCATGCCCCTCGGAAACCCGTACCAACCTTTGCAAGTCTTCATTAATTTTTGCGCACGCCACATCCACCTCCGATTCAGTGAATGAATGGTATATTTGTGTGTCGTCAGCATACCAATGGGCACTGCAATACCGAATTCTGTCTTTGAATTGAATTGTGTATATACTATACAACAAGGGAGATATCATTGATCTCTGAGGACATCCGACCTTGACAAATGACGGCTTAGAAAAGCGACCATTTACTACAACTTGCTGTTCCCTATCAGACAAGTAACTCATCAAAAGACCTACTGCTGGTTGACTCACCCCAATATGCTACAAAATTGAGGACAACATTTTATGATTCATCCTGTCAAATGCCTTCGAATAATCAAGCAAACACAGTACCGTTACTTTACCGCTATCGGACGCCCTCAGTACATCATCCACTATGTTAAGCAAAGCCGTAGCGCAGCCATAACCCGCTCTGAAACCAGATTGCGTTTCTGGCAACAATTTATGTTTGTAAACAAACGCCTGGAGCTGCTCACACATAATTTTCTCCAGCACCTTAGACAACACTGGTAGAATGCTAATCGGACGTAAATCAGCAAATGAATCTGGCTTTTTTTTCTTTGGTAATGGAACTATTTTCGACTTTTTCCAAGCGTCTGGAAATCGACCGTCCGACAAACAGCAATTAACTATGTCTTTAATTTGAGGTATTATGTGAGGGCAACAGTAATTAATCATTTTAATATTAAGTCCATCTAATCCTGTGGCGTTGCTTCTTATGCAGTTAATAACTTCCTCTATTTTAGCATCACTGACACATTCAAAATTGAAAATATGTTTTGTGACTACATTATTCATATAAGATTGATATAGATCTCTGTCAATGTCCCCATTCAGAGGAGCTATATTTGTGAAATAGTTGTTAATTTGATCCGAGTCAGCAAGCTGCTCAGGGATACTGTCAGTTGTGCGAGTTAAAATTCTACATTTCCGCAACGCTATCCATGGATTAGTTTCCAATCCCATACAATGACTAACATACGCCTTTCTTTCTCTGTTTATGGCTCCCTTTACATAATTCCTCATATCTTTATAGTATTGCCAAGACTCATTTGTTTTTAATGATCTATATTTTTTATATGCTTTATCTCGAAGCTTTTGCATTCTCCTTATTGTGTCCGTTATCCAAGGTGTCGGGGCAGCACGTTCTTTAAAAGTTCGCACTGGAGCGTGAGCATCAAAAAGTGTCAGAATATTTTCCGTCAAAAACCTTACTTTATCGTTAACATCAATCATATCAAAACTTAGAAAAAAAGGAATAGCATATAGATCCTGCAAAAACCCTTGATAAACAAAATTAGAAAAGATACGCCTAGTGAATGAAGCAGGCGGCTACACCACATACTCTGCAAACAATTCGCAACAAACGATTTCATGATCAGACATACCCGCTGACGGCACAACACTAACATCCCCAATGCCGTCACCGTCGGACACAAAAACGAGGTCAATAATTGTCGAAGTAGTCTTAGTAACACGTGTGGGAGAGCTAACAATCTGAGTCAAGCCAAATGCCTCCACGGTTGTGACAAGCTTATCCGCTTTATTGCTATGACCGCTGTATAAATTCAAATTAAAATCACCCGTGAGTATCACTCTATCCACTGTTGAGACAACAGTCGACAATTGTGATTCAAGTTCGGAAACAAAGTATTCTGAATCAACTCTTTGGGATCTATAGGCAACACCCACCGCGAAAACAACCCTATGAACCCTAAACCTAACCCAGACCTGCTCTATGGCATCGGAAGACATGAGCACGTCAGCTCTAAGTGTTTTTCTTACGTAAATCCCGACACCACCTCCCCTTGAAACTCTGCCCTGTCTATAAAAATCATACCCATCCAACGTAACAACGCCTAGGTTTATATTCTCCGAGTGCCAAGTCTCAGCTAAACAAAAAATATCGTACTTATTTGATTCGACATAATCCGTTAGATCTGCAAAGACAGGTAGGAGCGACCGAACATTCAAAAGACCCAACTTAAGGTTCCTTTGTGGCATTAGACTCTATAAATGTAAAGAAAACAAAGAAAAAACAACAATAAGTATTGCGATGCTACAAAAAAAAACAGTTCTGTAATTACAGAAAAATATTTCGGAGCAACACCCTACATCATTCGCTCCACATCTGCATTTCTCCAATCACACACAAAAAAAAAAGAAAATACAAAATACATTGTTTTACACATTATCTAAATCATTATAATTTGATATCAATATTTTTTTATCATTGACTCGCGCAAATATTTTTCGGTCCACAGTCCAAACAGAATTTAGTCTAAATTTACTCACAGCTTGCGGGTATAATTTATATCGGGAAGCCGTGAGATCCTCCGAAATACGGATACCTGAACCCTTAAGTAATTTTCTATTTTGAAGCACTAATCGTCGATCTTTATACGAGACAAACCGAACAATGACTCCCTGTTTCCCATTTACAGGCTTCCCGACGTGGTGGCAGCGATCAATATATGGTGGGAACCAATAGTAATTTTTAATTTATCATTAAAAACGCTAAATTTATCATAAATAAAATGTTACAGAACGTTAGGCTTTATAAAACGATCTACCGAGCATTTCACAAACTCAAGTGCAATTATAAGCATGTATACTGCTTATATTGGCAGTGTCTTAAACTTTGGAAGCATTGTCTGGAATCCACAATATGCGGTTTACATCGAACGGTTAGAAAATGTTTAATTAAATATCTTTGCTACAAAACCAGACGTGAATATGTGGATTATCCCGCAAGCTGTAAGATGTTCGGATTTCTGACTCTCCGTCAACGACGAGCATATAATGACGTACATTTTCTGTTCAGGCTTGTCAGTGGTCTTTCTGATTCACCGTCTTTACTGGCTAGGATCGACTTTCATGTTCCCCCGCGGCAACTGCGATATGACTTTTTGTTTTACGCACCTATGCCGCGAACAAATGCTTATCGGAATTCCCCTATTCTCAGAATGGAGCGTACCGCTGACCGCATTAATTGCGATTTATTCGCGTATAATCCAGCTAGTGTTAAACGCAACATCAGAACCGCCATTATATCTTCACCTGCCGTGTCGCTATGATTGTAATGCCTTAATGCTCTGTCCTTAAGCTTGTTTTAGAAATTAGGATTTTTTTTTAGTTGTACTTTATAAATGTGTATTGTGGAACAACTTTATTGGGTTCGTCCCGTTGTTGTTCTCTTGTTCAAATAAATAAATAAAATAAAATGACAACGATCGATACTATTCCGATCAACATTAAGTTTCAAATTCGTATGTTACTTCGCCACGTATACTGTTCCAACGCATCTAAATTATCCCGTGGAGCACAATGCTTTTACCAGAGCATTTAGTTTAATTTCCGTCTGGACAAAAAGAAATGGGTGATGCTGACTTTTTGGCGGACACTGTCTGTCTTTGTCCACAAATAAATATTTTGTAATCCACAAATTCAAATTAACACAAAACACACTCAACATCACAGAGTAATTTTACTCTTTTAAATCACGTTTATTTAATTAATGAATTCTACAAATTGGATTTCTTTGTAGGAACAAAGAAATAAAATATTACATCTCCTCGGATTCTGAAGAAGAACCACAAAATAGTGTTACCGTTGTGGAAACTGATGATACCAAGTACTTTTTTTTCATCATTTTGCGTTTTCAACAATTAAACATAAAATATTTTTCAGGAATATAGAGTCTGATAATGTTGATTTAATAACGGAGGTGCAACAATTGGCTGCAAAATCCGCAGCTATTTGTGAAGAATTGATGAAGAGGTCGAAACAGTACACGAATGAAGTTACAACAAGTAATGAAGAACAAATGAATTTCCAAACTGCTGGAGTTGTTGATCTAACTAATGTTTTGGTAAGAATAATATGGTTTTTTTTTTAATGTTAAAAATTATGGATTCAATTCGAAATGATTGCAAAAATGATTTTGCGAAATTATTTGAGAATAAGATGTTTGTAGTTAACTAACATGGGTAACCTGAAGTTTTCATAAAATCCACTCCAAAAAATATTTTTTTTAATAGTAAATAATCTTATTATAGGAAACGAAACATGTTGATAATAAAGGACTCAAAAATAATAATTTGGAATCTCAAGATGTTGTGGTAAGATAAATTAAATTTAGTGGCTGTAAACCTAAACTAAAATTAAACCTAGAACAAGACACTTTCGGGTTAAGGTGTGTTTCTTTTGAAAAAATGTTTTTGTAATTCGCGACTGTAATGAAAGCTATAACAGTACTCAAACGGTTGCTGTAATGAGACTCCTTACAGCATCCAATGCTGTAATGAGATTTTAGTAACATTTTATGCAACCAGTTCAAGTTGGTGACATTGGGTCATTAATTTTTCTAGTTGTCAATGTGACAATGTTTGTCTATGGATGTTTAAACACGTTCTTAGCATCGAATACAAGGTCTACAATGATGTGGACATTAAACTCTGAGCAATTTCTCTTATTTTGGGAGGTGTACATGAAACATTTTTGTCAGGTGAATACATTTTGTGTTTTGACAGTTTCTAATTGTCAATTCAAACTTCTATTTTCAAGTATTACGGTGTTACCAACGGCTACATACCTATTTCCCTACATTGTCAAAATTTATTTTATTTTTGAGAAAAGAAAAAGATAAAAACGCGAATTACAAAAAATAGCATAAAAAACACGTTTCATAAGACTTAAAGCACTCATTCATTAAAAAACTCGTGGCTTCGCCACTCGTTTTTCTACTTGAATTCGAGCATTTCAAACGTGTCTTACGAAACTTGTTTTTTAATATACTATTTTTCTTTTCTTTGTTTTGGTTCATTTTTTTGTCTTGTCGTTTGGGTTTTATGCCGATGTTTTCGGTTTCCCTCTTGCGTTTCGGCATTACTGTATCTCTTGTGTCTGTTTTTCTGGGTTTTATTAGAGTTGCTTTTTGTATCTCTGGATTGTAGTGATGTTTCATTTTTTTGATTTGTTTATCGGTTGTCTCCTCTATGAAGGTTACCATGTTTTTAATATTAGCTTCTTTTTTTAGTTGAGTATAGCTGATATATCTCTCTGCATTCATTGTCATTCTTAGAATCTTGTTAAGCGTTTATGGCAGTTGGTTTAATCCGCTTTTGCTGGTTATGTTCCATATCACTACCCCGTAGGTGGCCGCTGGTAGTATGATTGCCTTGAAAATATTTATTCTGTTATTCAGTGTTAAGTTTACTGCATCTGTTGATGATTGGGTAGAGTGGTGCTGTTAATCCACTTCCTTTTTTTAATTTTTTTCCATGTGTTTAAGTAGGTTGAGTTTTTCGTCTAGTATGATGCCTAGATATTTAGCATACCTTTTCCACTCTATTTCTTTTCCGTTTATTTTGATTTTTTCGGGGTTGGGTTTTTTGGTGACCTTGTGTATGACAGAACATGACTGCTTCTGTTTTTTCTTGGTTTACTCTGATCCTCCATGTATTCATGTACTTCATGATTTTATCAGTCATCGGCTTCTTGTAGTCGGTTTTTAATGAATGATTTCATCCTGCTCGTGGTGTATATTACGGCCAAGACGGAGCCTTGTGGAACTCCGGCCTCTACTTCTGTTCCTTCCGAAATTGTATTCCTTATTTTGACGTGGAATTTTCTGTTTTGAAGGTATGAGCTTATGATTTCAGTTAGTCTTGGTGGTACGTTTGATTTCTTCATTTCATAGATTAGGCCTGCGTACCAGACTTTATCAAAAGCTTTCTCAGTGTCCAGAAACCAAACTGGTGGTTTGGGATTACGTTGTTGTCTTTGGTGGCACTTTTGAGTCTGCTGAGCAATATCTCGACGACTTTATTGATTGTCGGTAGAAGGCTAATAGGTCTGTAGGAGGTTGGTTGGTCTTTTGGCTTGTTTTTTTTTGTGTATTACTATTGTGATTGCTTTTTTCCATGTTTGTGGAAAATATCCAAGTTCCATTACTGCGTTGGCTATCGTTTTTATTTCGTCTATGCTGTCAGGCGGGAGTTGTTTTAATAATAATAATAATAAACAAATTTTATTGTCATAAAAGAAAAAAAAACAAAGGAAAATTGTACATTATTATAATTAACTTATATTGGCGCTAGTGATAATACACAAAAAAAACAATGATTTCAACAATGACAGTGGAAAACAAATCATAATCGCCACAGACGATATCTTCCAATCGACCCAGTCTAAACTATATTACAATCTTTGATTATATATACACTGTTGGAAATAATTCACGAGCACACCCTGTATAACCTGAACGCGTGGGTCTAGCGCAATAAAATTTGATATGGAAGTAGTACTAAAGTAGTGTAACTTACTCTCACATGGAGAGCGGCACAACTCTGCTGGGAGGAGAAACATCAATAGCGAGAGTATCCCCCGTGAGCTTCGCGTACCATCGCTACACGACGGCACTTGCTGCTGG